GAAAAAATGTCTAGTTTGCCAGACCTCTAATATCGATAATAAGAAACGAGTTTGTCCTAAATGCAAAAATAAATTACTAACGTTTGCTGAGATAGTCGACGAACAATCTAAGATCGTAAATGCCACTGAAAAATCATCCATTTCTCCTTACGTATTTAAACAACGATCAATTCTGAAAAGTGAAGTCCATGAGCCACAAATATTCATTCCTGATCCAATAGGAATTAATTCAAACTCGGTTACTAATGTTAGAAAAGTTCTTGAGCATATTGAAGAAATATCTGGAGTTAAAAATGATAGCTGTAAATGGGTTGTAGTTACCTGTGATGGAGTACCATATCATCACATACAAAAAATAAAAAAAGATTTTTCTTGGCTCATATTAATTCTGGGTGCCCTTCATGAAGAAATGAATATTTTAAAAGCATTCGTTGAATTAAATTGGGATATTGATCTAAAAGATTTTGCTAAGTGCCAAGGATATCGAACTAACAACCAACTCCAGTTTTTCAAAAAATGCTCCGATCATTATAAGTCGTGGGATTCTATATATAATATATATAGACACGCAATGGCATCTGAGTTAATGTGGCTATATGTTATTTCTGAAGAAAATCTTTCTGTTGAAGGATTTTTAAAATGGGCTTAAAATCAGACTGATCATATGTTTAGGTTAAAGTATGAACAAACTTTTATTTATTTGCAAGCAATTATTAACTTTCGTACCTGTGTTCGTTTTAATAGGCCTTCACTAAAGTTTGCAGCTAGGCGAATGTTTGCACCTATTTGGTCTGCTCGACGGCATCCAATCTATCGATTAATCGAAATTGCTGATGAAGAACAAATGCTATGATTAAGGCCTGAAATTCGAAATTTAATCCAAGAAAGGGTTGTTACTTCGTGATCCAAACTTTCAAACCAACATCAAGGCCATGATACAATACTTGAAGAAATTAACAAATCATTAAAATCATTAATTCCTCCAATATCTTCACAATGGCATTGGGAAATTGTGGCACGTAATTGTACTAATTTTTCAAAATTGCATACTAACATTTTTAATATAATAGGATACTCCGAAAGTGAAGCCAATGGGTCTCGTACACGTTCCAGTTTTACTGCTGAATCACGTCGATTCCGGGTTCAGATAAGAAAAGCTCAATTTGTAAATCCAAATGCTGATAATCGTATTTTTCAAAATCTAGGTGGAGAATTGACATTAAGCGAACAAATGATAAGATTTAGTGAAATCACGAGTATGAAAAGAAATGAATTTATTAAAGCAACATTAATTAAAAAAACACCTTTAGGCATTTGGCGTCCAATTCCCATAACATGTGATGAGGCAGAACTTCAAAAAAGCGAAGGCTCTTTAAAAAAATCAGAAATTTTATCTATTATTACCTCTTTAATTCCTTCTTTAGGTGATTCAGATTGATCGTGCTTTCATGGTTTATCAAATAAGTCCCGTGAAGAATTAGTAAATATTCTTCAAGAAGTCAAAAATATATTAGCTGAAAATAACATTAGT